ACTTTTCAGATTCTTCTGTGCGGGATTTCAGAATCTGGCCTTGTATCGTTCTTCCGGGGACACACGCACACACACACACACACTCACACACACACACACACACACACCTGGCACTGTGGCGCCAAGCTGCCCCTGGGTTGAAGCTGATCTCAGGCATCGGCACACAGAGCTTGTGGCCCTGGACACTGTCCCTTGGAAGCCGTTCGGGCCAAAGGCTTAGAGTCTAACCTTTAGGGTTTTTTTTAGGGGGTTTAGCGCTTTAAAGTTCAGGGCAGCTGCAGAGCAGTGGTCCCAAAAAGGAGAGGGAATGAAACATCTTGCCAAAGTTCCGGAAGAGTAGAACTTTAAGGGTCCACGTACCCATACTTTGGCTTAAAGGGCTTTCTATTCAAGTGTTCGGCACTTTAAGGCCTAAGTGCATACTATATGGTTCTACAGGGGAAGCCACAAGAGCAGATCGCGCATATAGACAAGAACTAGCGCCTGATCCGAAACTCTTATTTGGAGGGTCTGACGACTTGGTAAGTAGTTAGTCTAGAGACTTATAGGTATCATAACCCCAATTAGGACGCCTTTTTCTTATCTACTTACGCGCCCCGGCCCTCCAAGTAATCCAATGAAGCAAGGACCCTAAACCGGAAGAGCGAAGACAGAAAAATATGGTTTTCCACTTATGCGTGGATCCCGCAGCTCCTGGCCCAGAACCACGACACACCAACCCTAGACGCTGAACCTCTAAACCTCTAGACCCCAAAACATGAGCCCCCAGACCCAGAGAACATAAACCCTCAAAGAGTTAAACCTCTAAAAACTAAGCAGACCCGACCCGCTAAACCCCAGGTTGTTGATGCAGCTCTAAAGGCCGTGGCCGAGGGGAAGTGGAGGCACGCCAGCCGCGCCAGTGTACTGATCTGGGCTTTGGGGTTGAGGGTCAGAGTAATGCTGGACCCTGTTGACTTCTTATACCTGCGCAGTCCTGTAAACATAACAGAAGGTTGGTTCCCGCGTGACCTTGGCATAGTTGGTTTTCGCCCTGTTGATTACCCCTCTTGTCTGAATTGAGATCCCGGCTTCTGGGAGAACGACGTGGAGCCAGAGGCAGAGAAACTTGGATATCGTAGTGCCACATAGCTTGCTACAGTACATTATGGTGTTATGTGCATATATATATATATATATATATTCAACATCACCTGCACACCAAAGCCTCCGGCATCGTATGATTACCAGCTGTCCCCCTGAAGCTTATAACCCGATGACAACTTGAGCTGTGCTCCAGGGTATTTTGCTTGTAGTCAGGACGAGCCCTACAGGAGTCCGATCCGAGCGGTATGCTGTAAGTAAGCTGTAACGTCTCAACATGAAGCAATTGAGCCCTGAATCCTAAACCCTAAACGGCTCTAAGCCAATAAAGGAAACCCTAAACCCTAAGCCGATCTCAGGTTCGGCTTAGGGTCAGCTCTAGGTCCCTCCGTGTCCCTGGTTGTGATGCAAAGCACAGAGGGTTTAGGGCTTTAGGGTTTAGGGTTTAGAGACATCCTCGACCGTTTTGTAACTTCCACTTTGTTTTGGAGCTTTGGAGCTTCGTTAAACGAACGTTTTGAGTATGTAAAACGTCCCACTTTGCAATAGCCTTTTTATGACGATCTTGGCAGGTGGACTCCTGATTTCTGGGAGAGCCTATGTGGAGAGGTGCCAGATTTGTAAAGGTAAGGCGTCCTTGCCTTGTCACTTTAGTTCTGCTGCTGCAGTGGAAATCTGCAGGTGTGATGGCTGAATGCGGGGAGGATGGCGATGGAACGTGCTGAAGGTGATGCGGGCGGGGATGGTTTTTGCTGCTGGCGACGACGGTGATGATTAAGATCGTGGCCGTGGCGAAGGTGATGAGAAGGATATCTTCCGATGGTGCTGATGATGACGAAGATCGTGATGCAGATGGCAGTGGTGATGACGAGGGCGAGGTTGAGGAGAAGCATGTGCAGGGGAAAAGTGGTGGCTCTTCTTTTGCTCTTCTGATGCTAGTTGTTATCGTAACAAATAGTTCTCACGACTCAAGCTTGGAGGTTGATGACTGTCATCATGGTGAAGATGCAGATCAGCGTCAGTATGATGTTCCAGATGGTCGCAATGCTGACGGTGTGTTGATGGCAATGCTGGATTCTGTGTTACACATGCATGCTGCATGGACCATGACCAGCCCAAACCCTCAGCCCTTAAAGCTAGGCCCTGCCTACTAAGCTGTATCGGGTTGATGCAGTAGTTTTTTAGTGTTTGATACCCTTTAAGGTTTCCTTTATGGCCTCCTTTAAGGGTTTAGGGATTGATTTCTTTCGAGGTTCCTAGTTTTCTCCAGTTGGAGGTGGAGCTGGTGGTTCCGCACACACCATGCCTATCCTGTGTCCTGGCAGCAGCTTCCTGAGGATTGTGATATTGGAGTATTGCCCCTTAGGGTTCTCATGATGTGTGCAGTACAGTGCGCCCTTGGCTTCAGGATTTGGGGTTTGTGGGTCTTGGTTCTTGGTGCGGTATGATGCTTTAGGGTTCCTGATTCCTGACAGTCCTGATACTATAGTAGCAGAATATAGGGGTCGGACTAATTAGCAAGAATGTTCCTCAGGATTTCTCATGATAGCTGTGGCATTCCAGAACCGCCGTCTAATTCTGAAGGCACCTCACATAGGGTTTCAGGATTAGGGCTTCACGGCTGGAGGACATTGAAGGGTTAGGGTATTAGGGCTCTGGGGGTTCTAGGGGTTGAAGGTCAAACTTTGGACGAAAAGTTCAGGGATCAGGGATTATTGGACCACTTCGAAATAGCATGGTCTTTCCAGCCCTGACATGCATAAACTCAAAGTGCCTCATTCCTCAAAGCCCCATTGCGACTGCCTTTGGAAACAAAGCACCCGACTGCCAGCAGCAGCCCAGTCTGAGATGCCGCAACAAAAAGTGGGCTCCTAAGCCCCTACATCTGTCACAGTTTCGTATTTGTAATTTGGCCCTGCAACTGCAAAGCGTCCTTTCAGAAGTGATAGAAATGCATTAAGCCGGGTTTAGGTATGCCTAGCTGCTCATGGCATTGGGGGTAGCGCTCTAGGGCTCCGGGGTTCCAGCTTTAGTTTTGCAGGTTTATGGTTTACAGGGAACTCCAGAAAATTGGAATATGGTAAATCATATTCCAACTTTCTGGCTTTTACTTTAGGGGCTGTTGAAAAATGTCGCAGAGCTTCGACATTCGGGAAGCTCTGGGCTGCAACCAGCAGCCAAATTCTGTAGTACCTACAGTCTCCGATCTAGTTCCTTTTCATACTGTAGTTAACCAATCTTCTTAGGAACCTACGTGGAATGGTTGCTGAACCAAAGCAGCGAAACCCTAAACCCTAAAATCTCTTACATATTACGTAGCAGTAGTAGTAGTAGTAGTAGTAGCAGCAGTAGCAGCAGTAGTAGTAGTAGTAGTGGTGGTAGTAGTAGTAGAGCAGAGCCCCCTTTATCTCCTTGTATCTCTTGAGGCGTCGGAGCCCTGGCGCAGCTGCGGCGCTGGGCGCCCAAGCTGCAGCTGCGTGTCGCCTACCAGGACCGTGCCGGAAGCAGTGTGTTTTGCGTACATGGGTATATGGTGCCGAGCATTTTGGGTGATAAAAATTTGGTATGTGTATACACACACATATATATATATATGCATGTATATTCACAGCGCCGTTGGGGTATAGGTGTTTGGATATATGGTGTAGAGCCTTATGGGTTGTAAGTATATGGGAACCCGGGTACAAGTACGGATGTGAGAGTCGTTACCTTCCCCGGCCATGATGATGGAAAGCACTGCGAAGACACAGTAAGATTATTGAGGCGGCGATGTTCAACATGGATCTGGTTAGGGTGGTTTGCACGGGCTCGAAGTCTTCATGTCACGAGGGTATTTACCCCATCCTTCGTCCCAGGAGACAGTGATAACCAACAAACTGTTGCAAGAACTTCTGCGTCGGCAACTGTGTCCTGATTTGCAAACCCTAGTCCCTGAACCCAAAACCCCTAAGCCCTAAACCCGGTGCATTTGATATGCCATCCGTTGGCACGCATCTTTGCACCGCGTCGAGCTCAACAAAACACAAGCACCTAGACACTCAAGCCTAAGCCTTTTTGTTGTTTAAGCCCTTGAATTCGTATCGAAGCCCGAGGCCCCAAACTCCTATAAATCTTAAACCCTAAATTTAAACTTCCAAACCGTGTATACACTGCACACCGTGAAATCCGAATCAAAGGAAAAACGATCAGGAATTGCAAAAAGGCCCTTTCCACGGCCCCGTAGAGGACTGGCGTGAATGGCGCCGAGTGTTGCGAGAGCATGTGGCTGCGCGCCACGCCTGCGGTGGCGAACCGCGACCGCCTTGAGAAAAATAAAATATGAGGTAAGGTTGCAGGGTTCATGCGGCGCGAGATAACGAGAGTTCAAGGACTTCAGGCGTTAGGGTGTATATAAAGGGCTCATGTCTATGGTAGCGCAGTCAGTATTCTTATAGACACCGTCATCAGTCTTGGCCCCATTGTCATGTATTCCATTTATGCAGCACTGGCGGTTGTAGCTCGATTACTGGCCATCTTTCATGGGTGAGGTCCAGACCATTTTTCAGGCTGAGCTTGTGGCGCGTCCAGGCTTACAGATGAAAGCGCAGATTACTTAGAGGATCATGGGACTTAGTAAGTAGGTTATAATTGGGGTTATAAGTCCCCTAAGTGGGGTTATCCTAATTATAACCTACTTATAACCTGACTTACTAAGTCCCATGAGCCTTCAACTAGAAACCTAGTAAGGCTTTCTGAATGGTTGTCGCAGCAATTCAATCCGCGATCCCCTCAAAGGGCTGTCCATGACAAAGCCATATCTGCTTCGGCCTCCTCCATAGCTCGCTTCATGACATGAGTGGTGTTTGCGAACAGCTGCAAGCAACTAGATGTTTCCGATTCCGTCGGCCTTGCATCTCAATACATGCTGTCTGATGCAGGTGACGGAGCCTGCGACGACGAGAGAGGCGACGATGTAGCAGCTTCGGAATTAGGGCTTAGAAGGTTCCTGGGATGTTGGTTACATTCGTTTAAGCCAGCTCAAAGCTTACGATTGCGCCAATCATGGCCATGAAAAAGGTAGTGGTGATGTTGTTCACGATGGTTATCGTGACAAAGCCGTTTATGATGATCCCCAAAGTACAAAAGCAGGAGCAGGAGTAGGAGCATGAGCCGGAGCAGCATCGTGCTTGTAGTAGTGACGACCACTTAAACAGCTGCTCCATGAACCCTGACAAAACTCACATTCACCCAAAAAGCATCGCTTTTCATCCCAATGCGTCCGACGTTTTAGGGTTTAGGGTTTAGACTTATGTCATGAACCCGCGGCCTGGGATTCAGAAGTTTTAAACCCCATGAACCCGTCCTGAACCCCTAAATCCCTGAACCCCGGAGCGCAAAGCCCCAAACATAACAAAGCCCTAAACACCTGCGCCTCAATTAAGCCCAAAATTCTCAGCCTCTAAGCCTTAACCATCCTTAACCCAAGACCTTATAAACCCTAACCCTATAAGCCTCGAACCCCTAAACCCCTCAACCACCAAACTTCCGAAGCCTCAACCTTACCAGGCGTCCCGCTTCTCGCTGGTTTCGGCCTCCGCGGAGGCTGAGCTGAGCCTTGAGGTTTCGGTTTCGGGTTTAGGGTTTAGGGTTTAGGGTTTAGGGTTTAGGGTTTAGGGTTTAGGGTTTAGGGTTTCGGGTTTAGGGTTTAGGGTGTAGGGTTTAGGGTTTCGGGTTTAGGGTTTAGGGTTTAGGGTGTTGGGTTTACTATGTAGGGTTTAGGGTTTAGGGTTTAGGGTTTAGGGTGTTGGGTTTACTATGGGGGCCTAAATCATTACCAGTACTATTGTGGAGGTTCCTTGCTCAAATTATAGTATAATGAGCCCCAACACCCTATTCTATTTATTACGGCCCCTACCTTGGCGTGTTGCCCTAAACCCTAAACCCTTGGGTTTAGGCGGGTTTCGGGTTTGGGGAGGTCTAGGGGTCAGAGTTGAGGATGTAGGGTTTTTAGTTTTTGGTTGAGGGGGGTTGAGAGTCCAGAGTTCAGGGGGGGTTGAGTGTTTTGGGTTCAGGGGGAGGGGTCCGGATGGGGCCTTTTCCTTTCGTTAGAACCGTATTTAGAATTAGTTTCTATACGGTTGCTTTAACTGGTCCTTTAGGGGTGACTTCCAGGGGTATGATGGGAGTCTTGTATATCGGCGGACTCGAAGGGAAACTTGTTATTGATAGCTCGGAGTTTGGAGTACAGCTGGGTTTGGGATTTTGACGTGAAGTGCCACTGCCACCCCTGATGCCCAGCCTCCACGGGGTGTTTGTGTGCAATAATTGTGAGTTTCAGCTTCTGGGGGGGGTGGGGGGGTCATCAACATACAGTAGAAGCCAGAGAGTTGCAACATCCTTTTCCTGACGTTCTTCAGGGAAAGCAAAGGGAATCCCAGCACTTATCATCCCAATTCCATGTTCCAACTTCCTGGGGTTCACCGCAAGCAGCCAAGCCAGTAGAGCTTAGAAGCTCCCCCCACCCTGTATTAGTGACTATAAGGATTACAGTAGGGCCCTATTATATTCCTATCATACCACTATTACAGGGTGGCGGCCCCTTCTAAAGTAGACCCCAACTCCTACACCCTGAACCCAAGGAAGTAGATAGCGCTTGAGGCCCGGATGTACAACAGGAGTCCATCCTACAGCGCTGAAGCGGGGGTTTAAGCTGTGACATTTAGGGTTTAGGGTTCCGGGCTTATAACAGTTCAGGTTTATAGGGTTCAGATGTAACTTGGGTTTGGGGTTTAGGGGTGCTGCAGCCGTCGAACTCTAGGGAGCCAGTCTGCCCTAAGCCAGGATGTGTGTCTGACGTTTAGTCTTGTATTGGGTTTCTTTCAACTTTATGCCTATTCCCAAGCCCCAAACCAGAAGCTGGGAGTTCATAACCCGAAACCCTAAACTTGCCCTGAACGGTTGATGATATGAATCCTGCATTACCTTATTAAGGACCCTAAACTATGGGAATTATGGTACATTCCTTAGTATGGGTAATGCAGGATTTATATCATAAACCGAAGTATACCCAAAGCACTGATTTGTGGCAGGATTGGCGACTTGGCGTGCGGTGCCGAGCTGTTCTGTTCTCCACCTGATAGGGCATCCTATATCCTTGTGAAATCCCCAACCCGAAGTGCTTTGACTTGGGATTTGTCCAGTTCGGTTGTCTTTCAGATGGAGATGGGATTCATAGGTGTACATCTCGCTTTGGGAAATTGTTCTGCTCTTGCCGGTCGTATGTAGAAGACCGCGCAACTCCTGTAGTTTCGAGACGGTAACCTGAATGCCATGTACTAAAATGGAGTTGAATGCACGGTTATGGACACCGGCAGTGCATGCGCACTCACTCGCACCCACGCCCGGCACACCCGCGCTTGACCTGCATTCATTGGCCCCTACGAATCCCTACGAACACCCATGCACTCAGAATCTGTGCAATTAGTCGTCTACGTATCTATCTGACAGCCTTGCTTTAGATCTCGTCTTCTTTCCAAGTGTCTTATCCTGTCGGCCTACCTAACCAACTGATGAAGCAACAACTGGCTGAGAACAGGCATGGCTACAAGAGAAGTGGTCCGTCGCACGCGATCAAGTGCGAAGCTTAGAACCCTTTGTGGCTCAGGGCTCAGGTGGCAGCGCCACGTTTAGGATACCCCCACCGAGCCGATCTTATGTCTTCTGATGGCCGGCTCAGAGCGATTGCTATCTCCAAGGCTTTATGAGGCAAGGTATGTAACTATGCCATACACTTACCCATCTATCTACCTATCCGGACTGTAAAAAACCAAGGAGGAGAAACCAGTACAGACTGCGGATTCATAATCAGATGATGACCCAAGTAAAAAATGCTTAGCCCTTAAACCCTAAACCCTAAACCCCTAAACCCTAAACCCTCCCTTCTCCCCGACCCTCACTGCTCCGCTGGTCATGTCATGTGGAGGCTGTCTTTGCGAGCTGCTGTTCGGGCAAAGAGTTCAGGGTTTGGGCTTTTCAGAATCAATCCGTTCGACATGTGGTTGCTGCAGTCATGAGTCTTGTGCAACCCCCCAGCTCCGAACCTTACGTAAAAGGATCATGGCACTATGCAAGCAGCGTTACAAAAATAATTGTAACTGCATGTGTAATTGCCTATGTCCCCAAATGACCTACCTATAACCTTACTTACGAAGTCCGAAGTCCCACGATCCTCCAAGTACGGCAAGTCTGTAAGGACTCACCCCCAGGACCCTCGACCGCTATCCTGTACCCAAAGTCCGAATCTATCTACCTAGTCGATTTGAACACGAGCCTCTTGTCGTGAACCGCTGGAATTTCCCAAAACTTAACCCTGGAGCCCAAAACCCTAAGCAACTAACCTCCAAAACCCTAAACCCCAAACCTTTCTCGGAATCTCCAAACCCTTATAGAGCCCTTTGAAGGAACTCTTATAGTACCCTTATGGAAACCCTTTAAAGGAACCTTAAGGTGCCCCTTCCCATTTCTGAAGCCCGCGCAAGTTCGAAGCTCCGATCCGAAACGGACGTCCAGGTGGTGAGCAGTGCCACACTGCGGAAGCCGGCCTGCGCCCTACTTGGAGGATCAGGGGACTTGGTAAGTAGCTTAATTGGGGTTAGAAGACATTATAAGTATAGTTACCTTATTTATAGCCCCAATTACTAAGTCCCATGATCCTTTAAGTAGACCCTAAACGGGTTTGGGGCGGTTAAACCCCGCTTTATATAAGAATCTTGGGGGTCCGCGGGTCTTTAACCCGAAACCTTCTGGAATTTTGTTAGGGTCCAAAACTCTTTTAGAGGTTTCTGGCGTTCGGGGCTTTTGCCTTTAAACCCTGTAGAAGTGTGTGGGGTGTGGGGTGTGGGTTTTTTTTCGGAGATAAAGACCCTGGGGCTTTTTCTCAGTTGATGGGGCGCAAGCGCTGAGCCTGGATTTGTGGTGCCGAGGTAACATTATTCAAAGGATTATGGGACTTAGTACCTAGGGTTATAAATAAGGTGACTATACTCATATGTACTTCTAACCCAAACTAGGGTACTTATAACCTTGCTTACTGATGCCCTAAACCCTGCTAGAAACCCTGAACCCTAAACCCTACACCCTGCCAAGCTCAAGAAAGGGTTCGTGCCCCCCCCTGTGGCCCTTGCCCCGAAAAGTCCTGATCATGTCTTCGCGGGGGCGTCCCGGCGCGGCAGCTGACGGCAGCGGCGCGGACCTCATCGACTTGGGCACCCATGCGGCGACTCGGCCGAAAGCTTCGGGGCCGGCTCACATCCCTGTGCCCATCACCTACGACCCCGACCTCGACGCCGCCTACCCGGAGGCCCAGCAGGACATGGCCGTGGACGGCACGGACACCCACGCCCGCAGTAAGCGCCCGAGTCCCTCTGACGCTCCTTCTCCGGTGCGACCGAGAGCAGAACCGCGAGGGGTCACCTTCGACGACCTCAAGGATCTCCTCAACCTTCAAACACAACAGCTCCAAGAAAGCCACCAACAGGACCTACTAGATCTTAAAACGGCGGCCTTTAAGGAGATTGGCAGCTTGAAGAAGGACGTACGGAAACAGGGCGACCACATCGAGCAGCTACGCGACTGTCAGGACCGTATGGAAGCCCGACTCCGGGCCCTCGAGGATAAGGAGCGTGCTCCGTCGACCACAGCCTCAGACCAAGGAAGACCGAATCTACTCATCCTCGCTGGTTGGCCCCAGGACACCCCGAAGGCGGACCTCCTCGCCGAGCTCACGGACTGCCTCAAGCAACTGGGGTTGGACCAGGCCTTCGACGAGATTTTCTGCACAGGCCCCCGCCGGGGGTTCGCGATGGCCTTTATGAAGATGGACAGCGCAGAATCCGGAACCCAATTAAAGCGCCGCCTCATCCAGGTGGCCCAGCAGATCCAGCGAGCAGCCCTACACACAGCCTCAATGGAAGCTGGAAGGACCCTCAGGGCTACTCTGGGCAAATCGCGAGAGGAACGGTTAGTGTCCAACCATGCCGGAAAGACCAAGAGGCTGATACTTACGGCAAACCCATCTTACAAGCAGCACATCGAAACGGAATACTCGGCAGGGAGCGTATGGTGCAGGAACCAACTGGTGGCTTCAGCGAATCGCTCGCCGCCCCACTCAGACTGCACCGTTGGAAAGCTACCCCGCAGTTGGATCGATCTCGCTGCACTGGCCAACATGCTCCGCATCCCGGTCGCTGACCTTAGCAACCAATGGGCCGAGCTCATGTCGTACTGAGACGAACAAGAAGCCGAGCTGCAATTAGTCGAAGACTCTTGCATGATGCCTACCCGGCAGGCCCCAGGGCCCACACATAATTCGCTACCGTCAGGGAGAAAATCTCCTGTGCACGCACATGTGCCTGATCTCGATCTAAGATCTGACCAAGACACCCAAACTTCTAGGCCTGGTACGGATGTGAGCTCCACCACGCCCGTGCAGGGCCACACACTGCCTTTTCAAAACCCAGACACACGGGAGGCCGAAACGGCACCCGAGTCCAGCACTGACACCCAACAGCTGCCCGGGCAATTTCAGCAAATCCATATTGCGAGCTGGAACATCGGAGGCACGAGCATCGAAGATGCCATTAAGTCGACCCGACTCGAGGCGGCTGGAAAACTAGACTGTCTATGCCTGCAGGAACTCCCCCGCAGGCCGGTGGGGTGGCACAGCGAGGTCAAGGAGGGCTACACAGTGGTCCAGTACCGCCACGACGACACGCAATGGCGGGGCAACGGGATAGCCTTCTCCCCAGACTTCCAGATCATGCGAAGAAGGGGCGGCAAGTACGGCCTGTGGCTCAGACTCCGACATTTGCTTACAACCAACGAGGTCTGGGTCGGGAGCCATAGACTCAGTACGGGTGTAACTAGTGACGTAACGGCTGACGAACTCCAGAGCCTTTGCGGACTGTTACCCCCAACCCTGTTGCCGGTAATCCTCCTGGGAGACTGGAACACCCAGCTCAAGTGGGCGCGAAGCTCAGGGACCCGTGCGGACCTCAGACCGACTGAAGCGCGATCAGAGTATGTCCTGTCCCAACTGGGGAGCTGCGGCATGACCATGCAGGCACCTGCGGAAGCACAGTGGAACACCCCCACTAGCAGACCCCGTAGGGCGAGAGCCACAGGACGACAGATCGATGGGGTCGCATGCAAACAGATCAGACTTGATCCTGTGAGAATCCACGTAGACAGTCACAAGCAGATCCTCAAAGGGGACCATGAGCGCCTCTCCACCAGCTTCCTGCTCCGCATTGGGGAGCGGCCACCACCTCAGAGACCAACAACTAGACCCAGAGTGCTGGTCAAACAGCCCCCGAAGCTCGAACATGTTAACCAAGAAGCCCTCCAGGAGCTAGCATCGGTATGCACGAAGCCCAAACCTAGTGAGCGATACCGTGACACCGCCCAGGTCCGACACCTCTACAAAACAGCCAAGCAAACAGGCACAGAGGAGGACTGGAAAACGGCACACAAGGCCCGGCGGAAAGCCCAGGTAGCATGGCGGACAAACAAGACGGAGAAAGCTGCCGAGGGCAACTGGCATGAGTACAAAGGTCTTAAAACTCAAGGAGGCACAGAATGGACAGTACATTTTGTGCAGGCAGCGGAAGACGAAGGAAAGGACCCCATGAAGTGGACGGTCGCACATTTCCGCACCCTGTTCCAACAGCCTGCACCACGGAACCCCCCGAGGTGGACTAAGGATCTTGACTCAGGCGACCATTTCTCTACCGAGGAGCTCCGCCAGGCACTCCAGCGAGGGCGCAGAAACAAGTCGGTGGGCGAGGACCTAGTGTCCTTCGAGCTCATCAATGCACTATGCGAGGACCCCCAAACCGAGGCCGCATTCCTTGACTGGATGGAACGCCTGAGATGCGGCGAAGAACTACCACCACAATGGCTCAGAACGGTAGTGACACTGCTACCCAAAACGGAACAGCCACGTGGACCTGGTGACCTGCGACCTATCAGCGTCGGAGCAGCCGCCTCCAAGGTGTTCGGCACTATGCTCCTACTCAGGACGAGGCGGTTCATCCAACCACAGGGGCCTGCGCAATGCGCCCACAACGGGCGCCAAACATGCGACTACCTCTTCTCTGCCGTGAAAACCTTCACCATGGACACAGAGTGGCACCTCGGCCTATGCTGGTGCAAATTAGATATCAGGAAGGCTTTCGACACATTGGCCCGAGACCGCACCCTGGCGATACTGAGAGACCGCCTACCTCCCCATATGTACCAGGAGTACCGATGTTGGGAAAGGCTCTTCTACCAGGGCACTGCAATCCTCAAGACCCCGTGGGGGGACGCAGAGGTCCCGCAGGGACGCGGCATTCGCCAAGGAGCAGTAGAAAGCCCCTTCTTGTTTGCAATTGCCATTGAGACTGCCCTCTACGATGCCATGAAGCACAGGGAATGGCCCGGGAGGATACAAGCGGCACCGGACCTGCCACTCTCGGAGCTTCTCTTCATGGATGGCAGCATCTTCCAAAGAGGACATGACCAAGAAATACAACATCCTCAAGTCGGAACTAGCATCCTGGGGCCTGACCGTGAACCCGGAGAAAACTGCCTACTACCACTCCCCCTACTCGACGACACCGGGGGCGATTGTCTTGGACGGCAAGAATTCCCCTGGCAGTCTTCGGCATCCCACTCAGTGTCCCCTTCCGCCCTACAGCAATTATGGACACTGCAGTGGCAAAAGCTACCCGCAAGTTTTACGCTAATAAGCATATCTTCCTTGCTGAGGCCCCGCTGAAGTCCAAACTGAGGATGTTCAGGTCGATTGTCGGAGGAAGTCTGCTTTGGTACAGCTCAGCGGTCTCGCCAAACCCCCATGCCATGAGTAGCATCAACACGCTTCAGGTTGAGCTAGTAGCCAAGATGGCAGGGTTCAGAAGGCGCACGGGAGAGACCTGGCTCGACTGGCGACTAAGGTCATTCAGAGCAGCCAGGAACATACTTCACACACACGGTGTGGAAAGATGGTCCACATGCTGGCTCAGGCGCTTCTGGGCCTACAAAGGCCACATCGCGCGAGCCCTCAGGAGAGAATTGCCACCCGCAAGCTCATACCTAGATGCATGCAGAACCCTCACATGGTGGAGAGACCAACAGAGAATTACAGACGGAATTACGCATCCAGCAAGTTTCTACCCGTATCACACATACGAAGAGGAAGCACTCAACAAAGCCTCAGCGAGCACAGACTGGCGGCAAGTGGCCTTAGACCCCGCACAGTGGAAACGGCAGGAGGCCACATGGATCTCCAATATGGACGTCCGCTGGTCCTCCGGGCGACAGCTCTCTCTTACAGCACAGTAATAATTCTGCAATGGTGCGCAGTGAATGTCCCGCTTCGCTTTTCAGGTCGCCGAGGTGAAGCCCCCGGCTGAGCGACGACCTGAACCGATGAAACAAAACGACATTTCCCTAAGCCCCACCTCGACCCTATACACCTCTGTTGCACTGCCGCCGCATGCCAAATCCCACTGCAGCGCTGAGTGCGTGTCAGAACCTACAGGCCCCTCATAAGCCCTGTACCCCACGCCATGGCCATCTACAACCTCGTGACGATCTTGCAGATTGCCTACGCCCTAGCCGCAGAAACCTCCCCGGAGCTACCACGCTCCCACAGTGACAGCAACAACAGCGGACTAGGAGGCCGACTGACTCCAAAATTCGAAGGCGGAGACGAGCTCGCTCGACTACCCCACGGTGCCCGGACGACAACAGGACAACGCCCTGCACCTCTACCGCACCGTGAACCTGATGAAGCATGCCGCCGACGCTCTTGCAGCCTCACCTTCACCAAGCAGGAGAACCTCTGGCCGAAGCCAAACGCCAAGGAACGTGCACACAAAGCTCCCCTGATCCATCATCCGGGACCCCAGGAACGACCAGACCCTGCCCTACCTCAACGACCGGCCCAAGAACGACCTTGTGTGCATCTACGCCGCTCTCCGCCAGAACATGACCACGAAAGCGACCGAGACCTTCTACCATGCGACAAAGACGCGATAGCTGTGGAAACGGAATGCGCCCACCTGGCGCCCACACGGGGAGACCGAGACGATGAAGAGCCAAGGCTACCTCCACACCAATCTCGGAGAGCCCATGTCCTAGCCCACAGCCGCCCAGAAGACCTACGAATCACAAGCCATGGAGAACCACGTGAATCTCTAAAGGCGGCAGATGCTGGACCCTTGCATGGAGCCGCTCTCCCCATCGCGCCCACCATGGACAATGCAGGACAAACGCACCCGGAACTACCACAACAGCGGCCTCTCCGGGATCCTCCTGCTGCCCTTGCGCAACCGAGCACTGCCACGGCACGACGACCGAGATCTACCACCGCCAAAAGCCGTCGTGACCAACTACGAGGACCGCGACTGCTCACAGGACGATCGGCAGAAGACCTTGTCTGCTGAGTGCCGGATCGTCCCATGCGCAAACCACACGGATGGCCCGTGTACCCGACAGCGCAAACCTGACACCGACGAGGAAATCAACAGCAAGGATAGGGCCCTACACCCGGACGTACGAGATCGCCCAGTACCTGAAGTAAGACGACCACCCCGCCGAGAACGCCCTTCTGCTGACCCACGACGTGCTGCCCAAGAACCACGCCACGACCGAGCTCCGGACCTACTACCCGAGACACGAGAAGCCACGACCACCGGACACGGTACGGCGGCCTGGGATGAGCCCTTCATGGCCCATGATGCACCAGACTGGTTTTGGCACTACTTCGACAAAGGAGTTGACCTCGTCAGGAGAGGAGCAGATGCCGTGCAGATGACCCGGAGCCTCGAAGCTACATTTCGGGCCCTGGCAGAGGCAGACACGGAGAGTGAGCCATTCTGGACGGAGACGGAACTCATCCGAAACCACTTTGCGAAGAGATGGTGGGTCCACGCACAGCGGCTCCGAGACCAAGGAATACCTGCGACCGGCCCCAGAGTCATGGATGAAGAGCTCGAGGCCCTCATCCAGAAAGTCGGGGAAACAGTCCACAGAGCATGGTACCAAGAATGCCACACAACAATATCGGGAAACCCAATCCGGCCATGTGGATGTATGGAGCTGGAGGATGCAATCACCTCGGACACTGAGCCGAACACCGACCCTGAGGACCAACCGCGAGACCGCTCACGTTCGCCACGGATGCCTCAACTTTTCCCTCAGATCCGGGCTGGCAAAGCAACGCTCGACATTGCGGACAAAGACGACGAAGCACTGGACCTCACCTCGCTTATGGCGTCCAAACCGAAGGATGTGCCCCTTAACCGAAGGAGCCCTACAAGGCTGTGGCGAGAACTCCCCGACGACAAGAAGACCCACACGGTACGAGCCCTACGACCTCCTTGGAAAAAGGGCGGCAATCCAGGCCTGCGACCGAGACCGCCCAGCAGTTCACCCAAGAGGACACCGCGCGCCAAACCACGGCCCAAAGCAAAGTGCCCGGCCGATATCCCAGCCCCGTCGACACCGGCAGCTTCCTCGGAGCAGGCCGCTGCCGCAGAACCCATGGAGGAAGCCATGACCGAAGAGGATGCTGTGGCCGTCTGGCAGGCGATGTTCGAGATGGAACCACAGGAAGCGATGGACGCGGCGGCCGCACCCATACTTCCCCAACATGTCGCAGACAGCATTGTGGAGACGCTCGCGGACAAAACCGAGGCAGAACACAACCTCCTCGTTGACTGCCTCCCTAGATTTATGGCGAGGCTCCAGGCCGATGTGGCAACAGCGATACGCAGGGCAAGATACCTCCGAGAACAACAAATACACACCGGTGATGACCCACAGGAGGAAGAACCGGTGCCCAAGCCCAGAAATCCTGCATACGAGACCGAGGAGGACGACGAGACCGCCTACATGCAGACAGCCAAAGTGGTACCACAGCAAAACCAACCGAGCGACAAGGGCGACAGCAACCTCCTCACCAAGCTCCAAGAAGCGTTCCAGGCCCTCAAGCCCGACCGAGCCACCAGCAGAGCCATCAGGATGATGCATCGTCTGCAGGAATGGGATGGACCACTCGCGGAGGACCGTGACCTGCTGGAGAGTCTCCTGGTGGCAGTCTCGGGGGACGTCCCGGCAGAGCCCGAAGGAGATGGACTCCTGCTGGAGATCGGCTGGGTGGGCACATGGTGGGACAGGCTCACTGGACGCCGCGAAGCTGGCCCGGAAGAGATTGACAAGGACCTCGAGTTCATGGAGAATCACGTTCCCAACCTCAGCACGCAAGAGGCAGAGGAGGCCGAGCAAGCAGCAAGGGAACACGCATACCAACAATGGGCGGAGGAAGCTGGCAGACAACACATGGCACAAAAGCGCGCGGCTGAAGCACAACAGGAAGACGACAAGGTGATGCAAATGGCGGGCGGGTTCTCATACGAACCACCCAAGCGGCGCCTTTGTCTGGCCATCTGCATAGATGACGGCAGACGAGCCAGGGCCTGGGAGTGGGAACTGGATCGCGGTGCTACAATCCAGTTGCACCTTAAGGCCGAAAAGAAGGACTTCGAAGGACGATGGCTCAAGGACGGCAAGCCTGTGGCCCCAAGCGAAGTCCCGGAATGCCTTCTGGACACCACCACCGCGGAGAAGATCGACCCTGAGGAGATCCCACCGAGAGCGTACGACCTAGAGAAGCCGGCGACAAGACAGCTCTACGAGAGATGGAAAGCAGGCAAAATATCGGACCAGCTGGTGGTCCAAACAGCCTCGATAGACGTCCTCCGCTACTTCAAGAGCCAGAACCAGTTCCCAGACATCCCTCAGGAATGCCTCGATGACCTGGACAAGCGAGACACCATGAACGTCTCCCGCTACACTGAGACACCTGTGCCATGTGCCCCAGCACAAAGCTCGCAGGACCAGGCGATACTTGGAGAAGTCCCCCCGCAACAGCACCCGACAGCTACGGCGCCACAGACCCTGGACACCAGCCAGGGCACCACGATCCTGGTCAACCAGAACAACCAGGACAGCGAGGCCTCAGACATGTCGAATCAAGACAGCTACTACAACGGGCGAAAGTACTTCGAGAAGTATGGAGGACAAGATGAACAGCAAGATCACCTACCCAGTGACCGAAGCGACTGAGCCCGTTAAGTAGATGCCATAGCTATGAAACGGCAGGCGGGAAGGCAGCAGATATTTCTACTGGGTGTAAGGTTTAATCGCAAGGCTTTGTTTACGGCATGTGTCGCCTGCTGCGTCTTTGATTGCGACATGTGTCGCCCTGCTGCGTGGAAAGCCTAAGCCAACCGGACATGTACAGAAGGCAGTTTTGTGAGAACAGCTCTGACACCGAGGCTCAACATGCAAGGGTGCTTTCTGAGGCTATGTGAGGCCACACCCTGTTTTCATACGAGGCAGGCTGCATGAAAGGGTTTTGATAAGACACACTCCATTTGCCAGAGCTCTGTCTGTACCACAGCACATCAGCGACGAACTGTTGCTGCTTTTGTCCGGGGCCTCAGAGGGGTTTACGGGTTGTATAAGATTAATCACTGCTCCACTTTGAGGCCCCACCATAGGCTCTACCTGGTAAGGTATTCTTGCTGTACTGCAGTTGGAAAAGGGCCCGCAAAAAAAAAAAAAAACCCTACACCCTACTAGAAACCCTAAACCCCCAACCCTGAACCCTAAACCCTACTAGAAACCCTTGGGCGATCTTAGAGAGGTAGGGGTTCCGGATTCTGACTAGCTTACCTTTGGTTAGTACGGAATGGAAGAATGGTAGTAGTAGTAGTAGTAGTAGTAGTAGTAGTAGTAGTAGCAGGAGTAGTAGTAGTAGTAGTAGTAGTAGTAGTAGTAGTAGTAGTAGTAGTAGTAGTAGTGTCATGGTAGTAATATGATTGTAATATGGTAGTAATACGGTAGTAATATGGTAGTAATATGATAGTAATATGATAGTAATATGGTAGCAATAGTAGTTATACTTGTACCCCATTCCTCCATTCCCTACTAACCAAAGGTAAGCTGGCAAGTGGTCGCCGCTCCTCTGAGGCTTACGACTTCTACACCTACAGGTTCGTGCTCTTGCTAGGCGGGCGGTTTAGGAGTTTAAGGTTTAGGGGTTTGGGGGTTTGGGGGTTTAAGGTTTAGGGGTTAGGGTTTAAGGGTAGGTGGGTTGGCCGAAACACATGAAGTGGCCTCTGGTCCAGGGGTAGCCGATGTTGTGACAGGTACCGGTTAGGGAGGGATACTGTTTGAGTTCTGTTGGTGCTTAAGAAAGAGCCCGAACTCTACAAGGATTCCTAGGATTGTTACACCCTAAGCCTTCAAACCCCAAACCCCTACCCTAAGCCCATAAACCCTAGACCCTGAACCCCCTAAACCCTAAACCCCAATGACACCCATTTCAAGTAACTTGGGGGGATTGCCGCAGTGCGATTCAGGGCTGGGGCCCTGGAGGTCCGGTTATATCATCAACACGGTTGATGATATAAATTTTGGGGTTCCTTTAATGGATCTATAAGGGGTACCTTTAAGGGGCTCCTGTAAGGGATCTATAGGGTTTAGGGTTTAGGGTTGATGATATAAATCCTGCATGACCTTAAGGACCCTAAACTATGGGAATTATGGTATATCCATTATTATGGGTAATGCAGGATTTATATCATCTACCGTAGGGTTTGGGGTTTCGGGGTTTAGGGGGTTTAGGGGTTTAGGTTTAAGGGTTTGAGGGTGAAGGGTTTCGGGGCTTAGGGTTTAGGGGTTTGGGGTTTAAGGGTTTGTAGGTTTCGGGTTTATCGTTTAGGGATGATGTGTTTGGATGTTGTCCCAGCCCGGAAGAAGGAACTTCAAGACGCAGCAATTTAATTCTCAAGCCTCACTCAAACACCCTCAAAACCCACAAAGCCTAAGCCCTGAAACCCTAAAGCCCTAAACCCTAAGCCCCGAATCCCTTAACCCCGAAACCCTTAAACCCGGAAACCCCAGACCTCTATTCTCAAGCCTCACTCAAAATTCTACAAATCCTGAACCGCGAAAAACTTCGGGTGTGCAGACTCGAGAATGCCTTCACTCCGAATTCACAGCTACTAAACCCTAAACCCTACAGTAAAAGCTCTACTTAAAGGATCTTGGGACTTAGTAACTAGGGTTATAATGAATACGGTAACTATCCTTGTGACTACTTATATCTCCACTTAGGGTACTTATAACTTATAATAATACCTTACTTACTAAGTCCCCTGATCCTCCAAGTAGACCCTATAAACCCTAAACCCTATAGATCCCTTTAAGGGGCCCTCTATATATCCCTTTAAGGGGCCCCTGATCCTCTAAGTCGAAGCCCAGAGTCCCTCCAAATCCCGTCATCAACACGTGGTTTAGGGTTTAGGGTTTAGGGTCTAGGGTTTAGGGTTCAGGGTTTAGGGTTTAGGGTTTAGGGTTTAGGGTCTAGGATTTAGGGTTTAGGGTTTAGGGTTTAGGGTCTAGGGTTTAGGGTTTAGGGTTTAGGGGAACGACCGGTAGCCCCAACAGATCACCTAATGCGCGCGACGTCATATACTTGCACGCTCAGGGGACTTAGAAAGCAAGGTTATAAGTACCCTAAGTGGGGTCATAAGTAGTTGTAAGTATAGGTACCTTGTTTATCACCCTAGTTACTAAGTCCCATGATCCTTTAAGTAGAATACGGAGTACGCCCGCTTTTCTTTGGAGTGTTCGTATGAGGTCATGACCGTCATCAGGAGACCTTCGTTGCAAAGGTGCCCCCCAATCAAACACTTAACCCAAAACCCGAGCTCGCAATTAGACCCTTATACGGTTGATGATGTAAATCCTGCATAACCCATAATAAGGAAAATATACCAGAATTTCCCATAGTTTAGGGCCCTTAAGGTAATGCAGGATTTATATCATCAACCCTAAACCCTAAACCCTATAGATCCCTTACAGGAGCCCCTTAAAGGTACCCCTTATAGATCCATTAAAGGAACCCCAGGATTTATATCATCAACCGTAGTAGCCCTCGTAGAACCCCGGAGCCGAAGCCCTACTTCAAGGATCATGGGACTTGGAAACTAGGGTTATGACTTACAGTAATCCCCATAAAGTTGGAAACCGGATTAAGGCCAAATCGTGCTGGGATTCCTTACACATTACTCTTAAGGACTGAGGCTATGGGGTTTCCAACTTTTGGGCTTCTACTGTACTCTACTTATAGCTACTTAAACCCCACTTAATAGGGTAGCCTGATCCTCCAAGCAGACTCTAAACCCTATAGATCCCTTTAAGGAGCCCCTATAGATCCCTTTAAGGAGCCCCTATAGATCCCTTTAAGGAACCCCTATAGATCCCTTTAAGGAACCCTATCTGAACCCGAACTTGCTGTTGAAGGCTGCTTCTGCCTGCTGCTTCTCTGTTGGAACTCCCTTGCGGGGACCGGCCGTTCCTTCACGGCTGCTCTTTCGTGGGGCAACCCAGTTTCGGGAGCTGTTTTAGGGAGAAGGGATTAGGGTTCAGGATTTAGGGTTTAGGGTTTATGGGGATTAGGGTTTAGGGTTCAGAATTTTTGACCCCAGGCTTCAGGGTTTAGGATTTGGGGTTTGGGCTGTAGGCTCTACAGTAGGTTTGAGGCTTTGGGAAGCCCGACACTCTTCAAACCATAAGCCACAAGCCCTAACCCCAAGACTCCAAGCATACAAATAGTACGTACTTTGGGGTCTAAAGTGTTTAAATACTACCTACTTTGGGCTATTTGGAGTCTTATAGGGTAAACCTACGGCAACACCCAAGAATGCAGCGTTGCAGAAGTGCATACGCAAGTCCTCTGCAGGGAGGCCGATGTTCCACAGCCGTTCAGTCTAAAGCTTCAGCAGTAGAATGATAATAAGTAAAGATGATAAAGATAGTAAAGTAGTGATTATAGTAGTAATGAAGACAAGAAAAATAAGTATTAGACATGTAACAGTTGTCATAAAAAAACAACTTACTAGTAGTAACAGCATGTGGTTTGCACTTCTCTGCGCTGCACTTGCTAGCAGTTCGCTTTTGGGAAAAGCATACTATGCTTCTAACAATAACCCCAAGGAATAATGTTGATAACACGAAGGGTCAGATCGGTGGAATGACCTGGGCTTCGGAGTACCATACCTTAATACTTTTTCTTAAAGTAACCATTATGAAATACAAGTTTATACTTTTTCTCCCCGGTTACTTAAAAGCCCAGCAACCGTAGTTAGCTCTCAGGGGAGCAAGGATCTGGATTTTGCCCGCCTAGTCATCACTGCTGGATGGTGCACCCCATGAAATCTTTGCAGAATGAGACTGCGTCTAACCCACTGAACGCTCTACCCATGAGGAAGAACCTTACAGAAGCTTGTCTAAAAGCGTCAACTTCTACAGAACCCTATACTCTAATTCTTGGGGCCCCATAATTCCCAGGGCCCATACAGTCGGCCCAGGTCCAACATCTTCAGTGGCACGCAGGTCGCTGCAAAAAGCTTGAAGGGCCGTCTGAACTAAATCGAGGTCAGGGCAGGGGATTGGTAGGGTTGATACGGTTTCGGGTTCAGAGGGCTAGGGGTTGGTAGTAGGGTTTGCAAGCACAAGTCTCCGCTTGGCTGCTCTCGCGCGCAAGACATGCAACCACTAGCAAAGGGCAGTAGAAAGAAGTAAAGGGCAATAAAAGGCTGTAAATGGCAGTAACGGACAGTATAGGGCAGTACAGGGCAGCCACGGGCAGTAGAGATCAGTAAAGAGCACTAAACAGGCAGTAAAGGGCAGTAACGGTCAGTAGTGGGAAGTACAGGGCAGTCAAGGGCATTAAAGGGCAGCAAAAGGCAGTAACGGGCAGTAGAGGTCAGTAAACCCTAAACCCTAAACCCTAAACCCTAAACCCTAAACCCTAAACCCCTAAACCCCTAAACCCTAAACCGTGGGGAAACCCCGAAGGCCCAAAGGTTCCAAGCCTCGAAGCCTCAAGGCCCACACAAGAAAGACCTCTACATGCCTGGATGCTCCAAAACCCAGAATCCCTAAACCCTAAACCCCGCCCTGAATTCTGAAAGCCTCAGGCCACAACCTGGAATACCGCCTATCGTATCCGTTATGCTATGTACTGTATCTCCCTACTCTACAGCCGTGTGTCCTTGATTCCGCTAGCCAGGCCACGTAAAATGCACTTGCTGGTACTCCGAGTCCTCCGCCAAGCAATGACATGTTAGTGCGACAAAGCTTTCATCCTGCTGATGTAGGCCGCAAATGCCAGCATCTTTCATCTAATGGTATGAAGACAAAAAATCTGTAGTTTGAAGCGTCCTTGCATGAGTTCTTTACCATGGTGAAGGTTGGCTTGGAAGGGACTGCAGCTGGTGCTTGCGCTTTTCGGGATGCGGAGGGAACATACGATTTCGGGGTCCCATTTTGCGGCAAGCTGCAGCACTATGCAAGAGTTCCGGTTTAGCTTCGGGCTCAGTCTTGCGTCGAAGCCCTAGTTCTACACTCTAAACCCTCTAAGCTCCAGCCCTAACGAGTTGGTAAGATGTGCAAAAGGAGCTGCAAGCCAGAAACGGAGCCTTGACTCATGTCGGGGCCAAATAATTTACTCCTACTAGCTGAGTACACTATACTATACTTTACTAATACTAATACTACACCATAACGACCTGAAAGGGGCGACAAAGAGACGAGGTAACGTAACCCTTAACCTGTGGGTTTACATAACCCCACTTAGGGGACTTATAGCCCCAATTATAACCTACTTACTAAGTCCCATGATCCTCTAAGTAACCTTTGGGTTTACATAACCCCTACCAAGAATTGAAAAATTAAACCTGTTTTAGGCTGAGGTACTCAGCCCCTCCGTCTCCTAAGGACTAGAATATTCATAGGCTCATACCCTACCCCTTTTTTAAGGTACCTACTTGTCTATATAGGAGATCGTAACCATAAAACTAGGCAACCTAAAACAGGGGTAGGGTATGACCCTCTAGGTACATCCGACAAGCCTATTCCGATAACAAAGGCCCTGAAACCAAGCTGTTTGTGCCCACCAGGTCATTGCCATCATAGCGCTGCTGGCGTGCATGATCGCCGATCGAGCGCCGCGGTCCCAGCTGTCTGCGTTAGGTTTGGTTTGTTTGTTTGTTGTGAATTGCGGTGGGGGTCCTCCATCAGAGTAATCAATACCATATCATGACCATGCAATTATCTGCTGCTACGGCCACTGATTGCTGCTGCTACTGCCACCACTGCTACTACAAGTCCTCCTCTTGCTGCTGCCTCTCATACCACTACTACCATCACTACCATCACTACCACTACTACCACTACTACCACTACTACCACTACTACTACTATTACTACTACTAGTACAACTGCTACCACTCCTTCTTCTACCACTACTACTACTACTACTACTACTACTACTACTACTACTACTACTTCTTCTACTTCTACTACTACTACTACTACTACTACTACTACTACTTCTACTACTACTACTACTACTACTTCTACTACTACTACTACTACTTCTACTACTTCTACTACTGCTACACCTAGTACTACTACTACTACTACTACTACTACTACTACTACTACTACTACTACTACTACTACTACTACTACTACTACTACTACTACTACTACTACTACTACTACTACTACTACTACTACTACTACTACTACTACTACTACTACTACTACTACTACTACTACTACTACTGCTACTGCTACTACTGCTACTGCTACTGCTACTACTACTACTACTACTACTACTACTACTACTACTACTCCTACTCCTACTCCTACTCCTACTCCTACTACTACTACTACTACTACTACTACTACTACTACTGCTACTAGCACCACTGCTACTCTGGAGGGGTGCTTGCGCATCAAAGCTTATCCTGCAACGCGGACAGTGGACGCCGCCTGCCGCGAAAGCCGCCCAAGTTCAAGGAAGGTGGTGTTAACAAAGCACTGTCGGACAAGATACTCGAAACACTGCTATGTCGTATCATAAAGATCAGCCCATCGTAGTGTTGTATAATACGCCCCATGCGTTGCTGAGCCTTTGGCTCGACATTTCCCTGAGGGTCCGAGTGCTCAAATGTTGCCACCTTGTCTTAACTTGTGCCCAGAAAGGAATTGTCCTCCAGGATGGTTTCGTGCTTTTCTGCTATTATGTATATATATATATATATATAATTATATAATATAGCAGTATTAATACTTATATAATAACATGGACATATATATATAGCTAGGTACATGCATGCTGGATATCGCACACATGAATAATTGGTCATGCTGCTTGTTCTTTCTCCGGGCCGATGCGATTTTGGGTTGATCTAGTTCGATTAGTTTCATGGGACACACCCCGGCAGAAAGCCTTGAATTCAATTCCCTTATTATGCGATCCAGACCCCTGAACTCAACAATTAAACCCCGGCAGAAAGCCCTGAATTCAATAAACCCCATGCCCTTAAGCTATCCTGACCCCTCAACTGAAGAAACCCAGAGCGCTTAATTTAGGAGCTTGGGTGAAATCTATAAACATATGCCCTGAACTCAACAAACCCAGAACCCTTGACACCACATTAGACCAGAACCACTGCTAACCAGTCTAGATAAACCACACCATTAATTGGTAATTAGTGCAATGCTGCGGGCATCCCTTCGCTTTCAGAAGCGGCATGGGAACTCGAAAGGTGCTCCCACCGTGCCGCCACTGTGTGTTCGGGGGGTCGTGCGATCGCGAAGCTGTGATGTGTCGATTGTCGAATTTGGTCGCAGCTTCGAAGCAATGCAGTGTGAGCTTGATGAGAGCTGTCATGTGGCATGCTTAGCAAAGCACTTTGCAAGCGGTACATATATATGCTACTCCCTACCTTCGACTATGCAAAACATTTCGTCACAGTCCCTTTTCGCATTTGTCCTCGACTACCTCTTCTAGCTACCTGGTGTGTGGTCAGCCATGGCTGGTGGGATTCAGCGGCAATTCAGTCAGCCGATGAAATATTTCCTGACGGATCCTAGCTGCATGTGGCTACATCTGTGCTATGCAAAATCATGTTGCAAAGTGTGTGTAGCTGTACATGGGTACATCTCTGACAAAGCAAAGGAAGGGGCCGAGATCGTGGCGAAGGGTGTCCGACCATATATGGACCAAATTATGGAGAGCCTGAGGGCCACGGAAGCACCTCGGCCCTGATCATGCACACTTAGCTGCAATATGCATCTAATCCGACACAGCTTCCTGCCGAGGCAAAGCAGCTGACCCGCGAATCTGAGGATGATAAGCATGGGAGCAGCAAGGTGAGATCCCGTGTGTAGGTGTGCGGGGATCCTCGAGTGGTGATTGAATTCTAGTCTGCTGGCCGAGGTGTCTGATGCGGATTTCATTGCAAATTACGATTTGATGAAGATCTTCATTGCCAACAGCATCACTCCGGAACTCGGGATTCCGGTGCTGAAAGACTTTAGAGTGTCTCGTCATTCTCGTTACGGCCCTTGTAGCTTTCAGGTATGGGAACATGTTAGATTCATCCAAGGTGGCACTGATCCATCTATCATGTGTCCACGGCCTGCACCCAGAAGTTCGCAAACGAGGGGGCAAACAGGTGGTCAAGGACGTGTGCTCGCCGCATGTTCGTAATTCGTGTGCTACGACTATCTATGCTTGATCTGGTATGCTTGTCCAGGACTGGGCTTTCGGTGAAGCTGGACGGCTCAGAGGGCTTTTGTCGGCCCTCTCAAGGGTCACTCTCAGGACTCTGAATGCTAAGATTTTCGGTTGCAAGTTTAGTTACTATGGTCAGCTGTATTCATTCATATTGCATGTGTTCGTTTCCTTCCGCATGATCCTATATTCGATTCCAAGGTCGAAGAAAACAGCAGTGCTGAAAAAAATGTTCGCCATCAAAATGCAGTGGGTGACGGAGGATGGAGATTGGATCCCCGGTATCGTTGCTTGCATGCATATACAGCTTATTATAGATGCAATTTTGCGAACATTAATCCCAATCGAGGTCTGCAAAGCTTGTCGGGTCCGTAGTTTGTTCATATATACTAGGTATAGCAGTAGCTGGTGATTGGATTTTGCTAGCTTCGAAGCTCCCCGAAAGCTTTCTCTTTTCGACTATCGCACTTGGCATCTGAGGTCGACGATGCCCCCGCCGATGAGCCTGATCAGGGATCCGGAGAGCCGGCCGACGACAGCGATCACGATGATGATGATAGCGGGGGTTCTGCATGTTCTGCTTCAAGGGGCGATGACAAGCTTGTTCCCCGAAGCCTAGAGGCTGCCACTAGTCTTATACTTAAGCTGCATGTATGGCTGCAGAAACATGTCCCAGTCACCGTCTAGTTTGAGTTCGTTCAAATTCAGAACATGTTAACAGAATCCAACATACCGACTTGCAAGGACTTGGATCGCGAGATGCACCGGCTCTTATCCACTCAGTCCCTCAGCAAGGATGGAGACGATCTTCGGGGTTGTGCCAGCCCCATTGTTACTAGGCATTATTATTGCATTTGGCTTCATTGACCAATGCATGTTCATGGCCATGGTCATCGTGGTGGTATATACCTAGCTAGCTGACATAGCTGGTGATCTCAGGATCTGCCGCCCGACTTGATGTCTGCCCTGGAGATGGAGATCGACGACGATGGACAATTTGCAGGGCCCGATGTGCCTAGATTAATTTTAACATCGTTTGCAGTACCCAGTCTGAATCCGAATTTGCATATCTGCAGTGGCACAAGCTAGCTAGAGCCGTACCCTACGTATACCAAGGATGTGCCACATCCCTCGGATGTTCTGACGGCAAAGGAAATGGAGGAATTCGAGGCGCAGATCTCTATCCCGGCCAAACCCCAAGCCCCGAAACCAAAAGTAGGCCCAGGCACCCGCTAGTTGGACAATGCCACCAGGACGAACTTCGCGATGCCCACGCTGCCAAGAAGAGCAAGGAACCGAAGGCGACCTGCAAGCAAGCTTGCTGGGGTTAAACCCGAGCATTTCAACCGTCAAGCCCGAACCCGAACACTGGTCCTAAACCCTAAACCTTTAACCTTAAGCTCTAAACCCCGGGCACCCTAGAACTTTCAATCCCTAAGCTCTAACACCGGGCTTAAACCCTAAACCTTGAACCTTAAGCTCTAAACCCCGGGGCTTACACCCTAGAACTTCTAAACCCTAACTCTAACACCTGGCTTAAACCCACCCTAAACCTTAACTTTAAAATCCCAAAACCCGAACACTGGGCTTAAACCCTTAACCTTCAACCTTAAACCCCCAGCCCTATATGACTTAAACCCCAAGCCGCCTGATTATAAACCATTCAGGACCGGAAACCTCTGGTGCCAACTACGGCGGATCTTCCAGATGAGCTTAAGGACCTTCTTAATATGGATGGGTTCAATGAAAGCGAGGAGGTCGAAGCAAACTCCACCCTCTTGAAGCAAAGGGAGATCAAGGCAGCAGAGGCAAAGAAGGCCCGATTAACATAATTGCTACATATATAGAGCAGAGTACTGCTAGCTAGCGATTGTTCATCACAGTCTGTGCAGGCAGCTGCTCCAAAGTCAAAGGGCGGCAAGGGTGGCGGCAAGCTGAGGCGAAAGCTGTCAGTGCTTGAAGAGAAGGACCCCGTGGCTACGCCACCGGCAGCTGTAAGGGAGGCCCCAGGGAGTGATCCCCTTCAGAAGAAGCCTCGAGGAGCACGGGGTAAGGGGAAAGGCAAGGGCCGTGGGGCCCACAAGAAGGGTGAGCAGCACGAGGACAACAAGCCAGAGGAGTCCGCAGACAAGGGTGAGCAGCACGAGGACGAGAAGCCAGAGGAGTCCGCAGACAAGGGTGAGCAGCACGACGAGGACGAGCCACAGGAGTCAGCAGACAAGGGTGAGCAGCAGGACGAGGACAAGCCAGAGGAGTCCGAAGACAAGGGTGAGCAGCAGGAGGACAAGCCAGAGGAGTCAGCAGACAAGGGTCAGCGGAGGGGACGTCGCAAGAAGCTGACTCCTGCACAGGAGGCAGCTAGTATCAAGTCCCAGGCCCTCGCAGACAAGAACCTGGCAATCGTGAGGTCCTTGTCC